CCTCCCTGAGCACCTGCTCCACGTCGCAAGGCTCCTCTGCGGGCCATGCACCCGGAATCTCGCTCAACGGCATTTCGCCATGGCGCAGCCCCCACACCTTTTGCGCGACCCTCATGCCCCCTTTCGAATTTTCGCAGTGGGAGGTGCCTCCGGCTCCCTGCCCAGGGTCTGCATCGTCCTCTTCGCTGCTGCTGTCTCCGTCGCCGTCCTTCCGCCTCTTCCCGCCCACGCGGGACTTGAGCGCCTCGTCGAGCTGGTCGAAGCCCACGTCCAACTCCTCGTCGCCCACGTCTTCGTCGGTTCGGCCCCCCGCTTCTTCTGTGTCTCGTGGCCGGACGCGGTACACACTCAGGAAGTTGCCCACGTGCCGCGCGGCTTCCTTCGTCTGCGCGCCGCCGTCCAGCCACGCCACCATGGCCGCGTCCCACGTCGGCGCGTCGCCGCGCAGGCCCCCTGCGAACACAACGTGCGCGTCGGCCGCGTCGGGCCTCAACGTCCACGGGTGGAAGCACGTCATGACAATTCGTGCAGATCGCTCCGCTTCTCCAGGACGTCCACGCGGCACGGGCGCTCCGAAAAAGGTTGGCGCCTTGGGCCTCTTGTTCCGCTTGAGCACCCACGTGTGACGAAGGTGGGCGCACCCGTCTGTCTCTGGGCAAGGCACCCAATCCACGCCTCCTCCTGCCTTCACCATGTAGTCCTCCCCAGGTTCCAGGTCCTGCTCCAATCTCGGGTTCTTACAATTCTCGCGCACCTTCTCCTTGCCCTTCTCCGTCAAGACAGCATGACGCCGGGGATGTTCCGCATCCCCGAGTCTCGTCGGGAATGACACCAAAACCGGCGTCCAGAACGTCGCGAACTCGCACAGGGACAAGTGCCACAGGTCGGGCACGTTCGGTCGCTGCCCATACAACATGGCCACGTCTCGGAAGGTCACCTTTTTGCGTCTCCTCTGCCGCATGTCCACTTCAGCAAACTGCGCCTTGCGCCCGCCTGCCGCGCGGTCTGCCAGGCGCTCGACCAATTCCACGTACTCGCGTCCATAAAAGGCTGTGGTCTGGCACGACTTCAATGATTCCGCTGCAGTGACGTCGTCCTCCCTGGCGAACGCTCTCAGGTTCGCACACTCCATTTGCCCCCGTACGATGCCCTTGCCGTACGCGTCGCTCATGATTCGGTTCGCCACTCGCTTCCCGATCCGATTCACATTCTCGCCCTGCAGCTGCCTGCCAAGCTTCTCTATTCCCTTGCAGCACTCCTTCACTTCGTGAAAAGTCATGGGCTGCCGCTTCGTGCAGTAGTCGCAGGCGTAACCTGCCTGTGCGTCCTGTGCCATCTGCGCGACCTTGATGATCGCTGCGTCGTTCAGCTTCTTATCGCACGCTTTCCCGCACGTACAACAAACCTCTGTGATGGGGAACCGACACGGCAATTGCAGGTCCGAGTTGAACCGCTGCGCGGACAACATGCACGGATGCGTGCCGTTCAGACTCTCGTGATTCATCGGCCCGTGCAGGCTTCCCGTCCGATTCCGTCGCCCTGCCTTTGGCATGTCCAACGCCGCCGCCTGCCCTGGACACACGACGATGGCACGGTCAATGAGCTGCGACGTGCGCGGAAAGTCCGCCTTACACAGCTTCGGGTTGTCCTTCCGGCGGCGCGCCGGCAGGGGTACTCGGTCCCCAGTCTCTTCGTTGTTCAAATGCACGTGGTTCTGCTTCCTCTCCTGCAGGTACTGCACGTCTTCGTCCAGGTACGCTTTCTCCCATGCCACAGCGTCGTCTGCCGCCTCCTTCTCCGTTGCTCCTGGGTCAAGGGTGCGACACTGAAACGCGGGTCTGCAAATGAGGCCTTCCTCGTTTTTGAACTCCGGCCACGACTTCTCTGCCTCATCCAATTTGCCAGTGATCTCCTCCGGCGTCATCTGCTTCGAATAAACCTGGCGGCGCACGCGACTCTTATACTTCAAATAATCCTCCACGATCTGTTTCCCACGGCTTTCTACATCGTCGCGGACGATTTCGAATACCTCTTCCAGCGGTGTGTGCTGATGCAGGCACTGGATGAAGACCTGGCAGTGCGCGTGGAGAGCCCCCGTAGACTTCTGCGCTTCGATGGACACGTAGTAGGCATCCACTCGCCCGAAGGCGACCCCCCACGGGCGTGGCATTACTTCCGAACAAGTCCTGGCAAGGGGCCCCACCTTCCCCTTCATTGCACCGCGGGCAGTTCGGACAGGTCCGCAGCCCGAACAGGCGACGCAGCGTCGCGTCCACCAGGATGCGGAAGCCGTCGACGCTAGCCATTGGATCTCGCGCAAGCAGTCGTCGCCGCTCGCTCCAAGGCGGCACTTCCGCCTGCGCCGCATTCATCGGCAGGTCCATGCGCACCCCGTCCAGGTCGGGCGCCACGCTTGGCCAGCCCCGACCCCCCGCCAGCCGCGAGTGCGCTTCATCATCTGCTACCTTGTGCACGGGGTCCTGCCGTCGCGCGCGCGACAGCCGGACCATGAGCAGGTTGTGGCCTTCGTCGGGCGAGAAGGTTACGAATATGGGGACGCCGTAACGAACTCGCAGCGCGTTCGTTTCAAAACGCATGACTCGACGCGCCTCCTGCGTCCCAGCCAGTCGCCGCGACGTGTGCTCTATGTGCGTGAGCAGCTTATGGGCGGCCTTCCCCAACCCTGGCACGTGCCGCACTTCTGTCATGTCGCCGTTGACTTTCCGTTTCCTATTGTTGATGTCTACGTACTTCTCGTCGAGCGCGCGATGAATCTGCTTCGCTCCTTCCCCGATTTCCGCGGGAGTCAGCTGTTCGACCTCGCCTGTGGCGTTCGCTGCCACGTACGTGAACCACGTCCTGCTCAGGTTCACGGCCGGTCGAAACACAAGGTTCCACGACACGAATCCGAAATGCCAATCGCGGCAAATCTGGCTCTCCACGCGACGACTCATTATCCGCACCCACAGCGGCAGCTCCACCCTCGGCGCCCCACTCCCCCGTCGCTGGCGCGGGCGCTTCATGAACTCTGGGCAGTCAGGCATTCCCGTGCAATACTTGAACACAAACGCGAACGCGATGCCGAAATACCAGGGCTCGAACAGATCCATCATAACGTTTCCAGTGCGCACTCGGAGCCGACCCCACTCAAGATTATCTGGGGTCGGCGGCAGAGGCGGCAGCCTTTAAGATTCCGAGACCCTGCCTTGGGCGCCCAGAAGGACCTGGAAAGCCCCAGTGTATCAAAGGAACTTCCCAAACTAGGCCAAAAGGCCCCAAGGAACCCCAAGAGGTCCTGAGAGAGTCCTGCTGAAACCGCAAGGGGCGCGCGGCAGGCCCGAAGGGAAGCCCGAGACACCCCAAAAAAGAAGCTTCTCGGACACGTCCGCAGATGGCCACTCGGATGCTCCCCTGGCGAGGATACAGCCCAGACCCGCGATGGGTTTAATGAGAGAAGTTGTTTCGGTCACCCAGAAACAGCACAATCGTTGAGCTCACCTACAGTAAGAGCTCGACCACAAGAAACCCTCCACAAGAAACCCTGCCCTGAGACCACAGGACGTCCATTGATCATTGGTGTGGGAACGTCACGCTCTCCACAGCAGAACCATCGAAACCCAATAAGCCCAGGGCACCCTGGAGGCAAGCATGGTGTTTCTTGGCACGGGCTTCCACTGTAGATGAAAGAAATTTGTGCTTCGACCAGCCAGACACAGGAGGAGGAGGAGGAGCAGAAAGAGGAGCAGGAGGAGAAAGAGAAGGAGAAAGAGGAGGAGGAAGAGGAGAAGGAAGAGGAGGAGGAGGGGGAGGAGAGGAGGAGGAGGAGGAGGAGGAGAGGAGGGAGGAGGAGGAGGGAGGAGGAGGGAGGGAGGAGGAGGAGGAGGAGGAGGAGGAGGTGAGATGAGATGAGATGAGCAAGCGGCCTGAAGCCAGGGAGGAGGAGGAGGAGGAGGAGGAGGAGGATGGGGAAGAGGAGGAGGCAGAGGAGGAGGCAGAGGAGGAGAAGAAAGAGGAGGACGAAGAAGAAACCAATCGTTGAGTTCACCTACCCGCGTCGGCGAAGGCCCCCACGGGGCAGACGGGGCGCGCGCGCGGAAACGAATTATCAGGAGCCCACCGACTCGGGGCCGCTTCCCTGCGGACGAGCTCGCATCGGCGACCTGCGGCGCACTTTTAGCATGTGCGGCTCAGCGCCTGAGGCACGCGGGGAGCAACGGTACACAAACATCGGTGTTTACATATATATATATATATACATACATATATATATATATATATATATGTTTATATAGGTATGTATATATATATATATACAGTAGGGGCCCGACCACAAGAAACCTTCCACAAGAAGCCCAACCTTGAGACCCCAGGATGTCCATTGAGTTTGGGTATGGGAACGTCACGCTTTCCGTAGCCAAACCATCGAAACCCAAGAAACCCAGGGCACTCTGGAGGCGAGCAAGATGCTTCTTGGCATGAGACTCCACTGTATGGCCGGTTCCGAAAAAAAAACCTGGATCCAATCATCTTGTCGTCTCTTGAGGGCGCATGTTTTACTCTTGCCACCTTCCGCCGCCCGTCTGCCGGCTTCCGCCGGCGGAGGCGGCCTCCTTGTACTTCCGCCGACCTTCCGCCACCTCTTCCGCCGCCTTCCGCCGAGGAAGAGATGGCAACTTCTTCGGTCCCCGAAGGCAAGGCCCATTTTGCAAGGCCTCATATACGCATATTTGTGCAACTTACAATCTGGACGTCGAGGTTGCTGGATCGCCTTGAACAGCGCGCTGGCAAGGGATGCTGGAGCCACGAGCACGATGCGGCCTGGATTCCTACCCAGGGCCACCCGATCCAAAGGAGGAACCAATGCATCGCGCCACGCGCGCTTTCCAAACAGGCGGATGATGATGATGATGATGATGATGATGATGATGATGATGATGATGATGATGATGCTGATGCTGCTGCTGCTGCTGATGATGATGATGATGATGATGATGCACATTTCTTGCACAGTGGTCGTCCTCGAGGAGGCCGACAGCGCCTCCCGATGTCAAAGTTTGCTGCGTTGCAGTTGTTTGCTCGGCCTCGGCTGGCGACGAACCGAGAGGACGCGCCGCTGCTGGCCTACGACAGAAATAGCCAAATCCGCCGACTCTCTCGTCGTCGTCGTCGTCGCCGCCGTCGCCAGTCCCAAAAAAAAGTGAAGAACGAACAAAGAAATGACCCTGGCGACGTACCCAGCCCTTGCGCAATGCGGGGCATAAGTACATCAGGATTGCTACAACGGGGGCGATGATGTAACATGGACGCATGTGATTTTGCGAGCAGCAATTCGAAGGCTCGCGGGCCCCAGATCAAGATCTAAGGGATGCGTAATAACAAAACATTCATCCCCGTTGGCTGTGCCATGCGCCCGTTGCAGCCAACGTATCCCACAGCAGCTCTTGAGAACCCCGCGGGATACGTGTAGGCGCAACGTTATGGTCATCGCCCGGCAGATGGTCTGTTTCACAAATCACCCCGGTTGGCTGGGCCATGCGCCCGTTGCGCGTAACGTATCCCACAGCAGCTCTCCAGAGCCCCCCCAGGGACGACGAGGTCCCGCTCAGATCCCCGCGGTGCCTCACTCAGCACGACCCACCAGCAGCCCTCGAAACTGGCGACAGTGTTGCAGATCGCAGCCCCCCAGGGACGGCGAAGTCCCCGTTCAGATCCCCGCGGTGCCTCCGCAGGACCCACCAGCAGCACTCGAAAGTGGCGACAATGTCGCAGATCGCAGCCCCCCAGGGAAGGCGAGGTCCCGCTCAGATCCCCGCGGTGCCTCACTCCGCAGGACCCACCAGAAGCCCTCGAAAGTGGCGACAATGTCGCAGACCGCAGCCCCGCAGGGACGGCGAGGTCCCGCTCAGATCCCCGCGGTGCCTCACTCCGCAGGACCACCAGCAGCCCTCGAAAAGGGCGACAGTGTCGCAGATCGCAGCCCCCCAGGGACGGCGAGGTCCCGCTCAGATCCCCGCGGTGCCTCACTCCGCAGGACCCACCAGAAGCCCTCGAAAGTGGCGACAATGTCGCAGATCGCAACCCCCCAGAGACGGCGAGGTCCCGCTCAGATCCCAGCGGTGCCTCACTCCGCAGGACCCACCAGCAGCCCTCGAAACTGGCGACAGTGTCGCAGATCGCAGCCCCCCAGGGACGGCGAGGTCCCGCTCAGATCCCCGCGGTGCCTCACTCCGCAGGACCACCAGCAGCCCTCGAAAGTGGCGACAATGTCGCAGATCGCAGCCCCCCAGGGAAGGCGAGGTCCCGCTCAGATCCCCGCGGTGCCTCACTCCGCAGGACCCAAAACCAGCCCTCGAAAGTGGCGACAGTGTCGCACATCGCAGCCCCCCAGGGACGGCGAGGTCCCGCTCAGATCCCCGCGGTGCCTCACTCCGGAGGACCCACCAGCAGCCCTCGAAAATGGCGACAGTTTCGCAAATCGCAGCCCCCCAGGGACGGCGAGGTCCCGCTCAGATCCCCGCGGTGCCTCCGCAGGACCCACCAGCAGCCCTCGAAAGTGGCGACAATGTCGCAAATCGCAGTCCCCCCCGCGGTGCCTCACTCCGGAGGACCCTACACCAGCCCTCGAAAGTGGCGACAATGTCGCAGACCGCAGCCCCGTAGGGACGGCGAGGTCCCGCTCAGATCCCCGCGGTGCCTCACTCCGCAGGACCACCAGCAGCCTTCGAAAGTGGCGACAGAGTCGCAGATCGCAACCCCCCAAGGACGGCGAGGTCCCGCTCAGATCCCCGCGGTGCTTCACCCCGCAGGACCCACCAGCAGCCCTCGAAAGTGGCGACAATGTCGCAGATCGCAACCCCCCAGAGACGGCGAGGTCCCGCTCAGCTCCCAGCGGTGCCTCAGTGCAGCCCTCGAAAGTGGCGACAGTGTCGCACATCGCAGCCCCCCAAGGACGGCGAGGTCCCGCTCAGATCCCCCCGGTGCCTCACTCCGCAGGACCCACCAGTAGCCCTCGAAAGTGGCGACAATGTCGCAAATCGCAGCCCCCCCCAGGGACGGCGCGGTCCCGCTCAGATCCCCGCGGTGCCTCACCCCGCAGGACCCACCAGCAGCCCTCGAAAGTGGCGACAATGTCGCAGATCGCAGCCCCCCAAGGCAGCAGCCCTCGAAAGTGGAGACAATGTCGCAGATCGCAGCCCTCCAGGGACGGCGAGGTCCCGCTCAGATCCCAGCGGTGCCTCACTCCGCAGGACCCACCAGCCCTCGAAAGTGGCGACAATGTCGCAGATCGCAGCCCCCCAGGGACGGCGAGGTCCCGCTCAGATCCCAGCGGTGCCTCACTCCGCAGGACCCACCAGCCCTCGAAAGTGGCGACAATGTCGCACATCGCAGCCCCCCAAGGACGGCGAGGTCCCGCTCAGATCCCCGCGGCGCCTCACTCCGCAGGACCCACCAGCAGCACTCGAAAATGGCGACAATGTCGCAGATCGCAGCCCCCCAAGGTCGGCGAGGTACCGCTCAGATCCCCGCCGCGCCTCACTCCGCAGGACCCACCAGCAGCCCTCGAACGTGGCGACAGTGTCGCAGATCGCAGCCCCCCAGGGACGGCGAGGTCCTGTTTGGATCAGCGGTGAGTGCCCTCCCTGCTGGCATCCCCAGCAGCCCATCGACAGTGGCGACAGTTTCACAGGTCGCAGCCCCCCAAGGATGGCGAGGTCCTGTTTGGATCCGCGGTGAGTGCCCTCTCTGCTGGCCTCCCCAGCAGCCATCGAAAGTGGCGACAGTGTCGCAAATCGCAGTCCCCCAGGGACGGCGAGGTCCTGGTTGGATCAGCGGTGAGTGCCCTCCCTGCTGGCATCCCCAGCAGCCCATCGACAGTGGCGACAGTTTCACCGGTCGCAGCCCCCCAAGGATGGCGAGGTCCTGTTTGGATCCGCAGTGAGTACCCTCTCTGCTGGCCTCCCCAGCAGCCCTCGAAAGTGGCGACAGTGTCGCAAATCGCAGCCCCCCAGGGACGGCGAGGTCCTGTTTGGATCCGCGGTGAGAGCCCTCCCTGCTGGCCTCCCCAGCAGCCCTCGAACGTGGCTACAATTTCACAGATCGCAGCCCCCCAGGGATGGCGAGGTCCTGGTTGGATCCGCGGCGAGTACCCTCTCTGCTGGCCTCCCCAGCAGCCCTCGAAAGTGGCGACAGTTGCACAGATCGCAGCCCCCCAAGGATGGCGAGGTCCTGCTTGGATCCGCGGTGGGTACCCTTTCTGCTGGCCTCCCCAGCAGCCCATCGAACGTGGCGACGGTTTCACAGATCGCAGCCCCCCCGGGATGGCGAGGTCCTTTTTGGATCCGCGGTGAGTGCCCTCTCTGCTGGCCTCCCCAGCAGCCCTCGAAAGTGGCGACAGTTTCACAGATCGCAGCCCCCCAGGGATGGCGAGGCCCTGTTTGGATCCGCGGTGAGTGCCCTCTCTGCTGGCCTCCCCAGCAGCCCTCGAAAGTGGCGACAGTTGCACAGATCGCAGCCCCCCAGAGATGGCAAGGTCCACTTTGGATCTGCTGGCCTCGCCAGCAGCCCTCGAAACTGGCGGCAGTTTCACAAATCGCAGCCACCCAGGGAGGGAGAGGTCTCGCTCAAATCTGCGCGGTGCCTCAACCCGCACGGCGAGAGGAGACAAGAGGGAGGCGGGAGGCGGTAGGAGCAAGACGCGACCACGGTGCTCTATTCAAAACGAATACCCTACCAAGGAGGGTTGGGGAAAAAAACGCCGTAGTGAAAGCGACCCCCTTCCTTTCTTCCCTGGAAGACACATCTACACATCTATTTTGGTTGCTCAATTCCCCAGCGGCAGCTGCGTTCGGAAAGGCCGCGCAACATCTAGAATCCCTCCTTGAGCCATATGTGTTTCTAGCGCTTCCCCACCAAACAATGGAAACGATCACATACATTTCAAACCATACATGCGTTTAGATACGTTCGCTGGCTTTTTTGATACGGGAGGTACGTTGCATTAGTAGTTTCAGATACGGGGTCATGTTTCGATACGCGTATATCTGTTTAGATATGTGTTGATACGGTTCCATATGGCGCCAATCGCTGGAAAACATGTCTACCAACAACAGATACGAATAGATACGGCGCCATATCACTGCCATGCCGAGGCCGCTCAACGTCCACAAGCAGGGAGGACAATGCACATGCCAGTCAGGACGACAACGATGAGGAGGAGGAAAAGAAATCATGACGAACCGACGGGATATGGCGGGACGGCGGGCGAGCCGACCGATCACGGTGACGAGGGGGACGAAGCAGAGGAGCCATTCTCTTCAATCATCGCCCTACTTCATCCCCGTCCTGACTCCCCCTCCTCCACGTTATCCTCCTGGCGCTCCCTCCTACTCCATCTACCTCGCCATTCTTGCCTCCTCGCCGCGCGCCCTCATCGTCCCCGGCGTCCGCGCTCATCGTCCAAATCACTCCTCCCAATGCCTCCACATCATGATCCTTATGCGCCCTCATCGAGATTACTATATCTCCTCACGCTTCTGATTCGTCCTCACATTTTTCCTTCTCCTCCTCCTCCTTCTCCTCCTACTCCCCTGTGCTCATCCCCATTGCGCCCTCAGGAATCCCGCGTTTTACTCCCCATGTTCGTTAACCTCCTTGGCACTCCCCCGCAATGGTCACCCTTATGCTGCTCCGCGTCATCCCCATTACCGCCATCGCGATCGTCCCTCGAGTCCTCTGCGCATGCCCGCGATCGACCACTCTCGCTCCTCGCTCCTCTTGGATCCTCCTCACCGCCCTCCTCGGTGTTCATCTTCTCTTTCCCTTGCCCGCACCACCCCTTCACTTTCGATTTGACTCATCCTCCTTGTCCTCGTCCTCCGCCTCCTCCTCCTCCTCTTTGCTTTCCCCCTCCTTGTTCCCTATTCCTTCCGAGTTCTCTTCTGAATCTTGTTTCATCGATATTATCCATCCGAATCCTCGTCGTCTTTGTCGTCGTCGTCGCACATCTCCTCACTCCTCATTGCTACGGCTTCCCACTATCCCCATCCAATTGTTCATTGTTTCGACCTGAATCATAGATCCTGTTCGCTCCAGAAGCACAGCCAGCAGCATCCGTTCTGACAAAATTAGATACGAATCGATGTGGTGGCGCAACAAAGACATTCTTTGAACATTAGATACGAACGTGTTCTTGAGAAAAAATAGATACGGTCCCAAATCTTTAGATATGCTTGGCAAATAGACACGCTTAGATACGGCGGCGCTCCCGTGCAGGCCGGGGGCGCGCATCTAAAATAAACGTCTATCTTGTCGCCCTTGCAGAATATTAGATAAGATGGGCTTCTCGCCTGCACCAGAGCGCAATCGCATCTAAACAAATGTATCAATCTTAGATGCGCCGTGCAGGGTTTACCTTCCCTGACGGGAAGGGGGGGTAGGGGGGAGTAGGGGGGGGGGGGGGGGGCTCCAGGTCAGATTACCGCGCCCCTCTGGTCGGGAGCGGCCAAGAGGGGGGTGTCCAAGAGGGGGGGGGGCAAATCATGACCGGCGGCATGTGCGCGGCCCAAGGGGGGGGGGCTGGGGACGTAATGAAGCAAGAAGAGGCGTCAAGAAATCTGAGGAAATATCATGGCCCCCGCCATGATATCCACCCCCCCCTAGTCATCACCCCCCTCTTTTCCGCCCCCGATCTGGGGTCCCGGGGAGTGGTCCCGCCTGTGGCAGGCGGGACAATCAAGGACGGGCTCCCCCGATGGGAGGAGGTCGGCCCTGGTCCCGGCCCTGGCACCGGGCCCGCCCCGGCCCCGGCCCCGGCCCCAGCCCCGGCCCCCGCCCTCTGCAGGAGCCTGGCATTCGCCCCCCCCCCCCCCCCGCCCCTTGCATGGCGTTCGCCCCTTGCATCGCTTCAGGCAAGTGGACTTGCATGGCGTCCCCCCCCCCCCCCCCCCCCCCTCTTGCCCCTTTTCAGACGAACACTGGCGTACAAGTGCCTTTCGACTTGCGGGATTTCTGCACGTGCAAGTCGTTTGCGGCCTACTTCAGGCTCATCCCCCCCCCCGTCCATGCAAGTAAACTTGACGGAGTCTAAAACAAAACAGGCTCCCAGGGTCCTAGGGTCCCGGGGGGGGCCCTGAGGTCCCGGGGGAGATCCCATCTTCAGGGTCGGCGGCACCGGCCGCACGGCATTCACAATACATCATGTGAGGGATAAGCAGATTTGGGCGACGGAGAAGCGGGTCTCACGCACGATGACGCAGCGACTTTCCACGGTGGCTGACGCGGGCTGCCAGCGCGGCACGCTACAGAGGAAACGAGGACGCTCACGCGTGACCTTACGCAGCCAGCTTGCTCGGGAATGTCCGCGCAATTTAACCCATTGTTCTGCGCCGATCACTTGGTTTCGAAGGTCATCATCACCCCTGGCCACACCCAGGGGGGACTGACTCAGGGCGGGGAGACATTGACTTGGAATCGGCGATGATTCGCCGATAGATTGGCGATATACCCTCGATAGCGAAACCCCAAGGCCCCCGGGCGGGAGAGGGGGCCCATGACCCGATTGGCGATGAATGGGCGATTGGGGGCGATGCTTCCCCCCTGTGCCAGCCTCCCCCTGTATCGAGGGCGTCCAAGAGGGGGGGCGTCCAAGATAGGGGGGTAGCGAATCATGGCTCGAGGCATGTGCGCGGCCGAGGGAGGGGGGGGGGCGAGGGGGCGTGCTGAAAGAAGAAGAAGAAGAAAAAGAAGAAGAAGAAGAAGAGGGGACAACGAAATCTGACATTCTCGAATAGCCTTTCGCTAGATGGCTCTTCTGGAACTCAAGATTGCCAGAAGAGTGCCACAGGGGGGCCGGAGAGCCCGACACGGACCAGTCTGGAGGCGGTCGGGCAGCCATTTCGCATGAGACTTCACACAATGTGGTGTTGGGTCCTCGTTTTTCAAAGACAGCGCCCCGCGTTTTCACCTCACCTTATTCCTCCCTCCTCCCATCCCTGCCTCTGCCCTCCGCACCAAGTGCAGCGCTTCGTGGCCTAATAGGCAGCTCCACCGAAGGCCCCAGTGGTAGCAGCACCCACATGCGGTTCAACCCCTATTTCGTCACACCCCTCACACGTTTCATGGCACCATAGGGGGCCCCACCGAGAGCCCCAGTGGCAGCGCCCGCATGCAGTTCCATCCTCCATTTAGGCACACCCCTCACACGTTTCGCGACCCCATAAGGAACTCCACCTAAGGCCCCAGTTGAAGCGCCCGCATGCAGTTCCACCCCCCTTCCGGTGCATCCCTCACACGCTTCGTGGTTTTTTTAGAGCCCCACCGAAGGCCCCAGTGGCAGCGCCCGCATGCAGTGCCACCCCCCATTCAGGCACACCCGTCGCACGTTTCGTGGCCCCATATGGAGCTCCACCGAAGACCCCAGTGGCAGCGCCCGCATGCAGTTCCACCCCCGTCCAGGTGCACCCCTCACAGGCTTCGTGGCCCCATAGGGAGCTCCACTGAAGGCACCAGTGGCAGCGCCCGCATGCGGTTCCACCCCCAATTTCGGTGCACCCCTCACACGTTTCGTGGCCCAAAAGAGAGCTCCACCCAAGGCTCCAGGGGCAGCGCCCGCACACAATTTCACCCCCAGTCGGGCACAACCCTTTACGCAATTAGTGGGCCCATAAGGAGCCCCACCTCAGGCCCCAATGGCAGCGCCCGAGTACGGTTCCACCCGCTACACCCCTCACACGGTTTGTGGCCCCATAGGAAGCCCCACCGAAGGCTCCAGCGGCAGCGCCCACATGCGGTTCAACCTCTATTTCGTCACACCCCTCACACGTTTCGTGGCGCTCTAAGGAGCTCCACCGAGTGCCCCAGTGGTAGCGCCCGCATGCGGTTCCACCCTCCATTTCGGCACAACCCTCATACGCTTCGTGGCCCCTTATGGAGCTCCACCGAAGGCCCCAGCAGCAGCGCCCGCATGCGATTCAACCCCTATTTCGACACACGCCCATCACACGTTTCATGGCCCCATTGGGAGCCCCTCCGAGGGCACCGGTGGCAGCGCCCGCATGCAGTTCCACCCTCCATTTCGGCGAACCCCTCACACGCGCCGTGGCCCCATAGGGAGCCGCACCGAAAGCCCCAGCGGCAGCGCCCGCATGGCGGTCCCGCCACATTCCGGGACACCCTTCACGCACTTCGTGGCCCCATCAGAAAATCCACCGACGGCAAAACTCACACCGACGGTACCCACAATTGCATGTGGTTGGGCCCTTCGCCAGTCTAATTTCTCCAGACGGCCACGATCCCTTCTTCACTGAAGTGCACATCGCTGCGCTCAAACTCATGTCCCAGATGCATCTTTCCGAGGAGCCCATTGGAATACGTAGGAATGCACGTTTTCACTAGCCGACCTCCTCCTCCTCCTCCTCGACCCGCCTCTTCACTTGTGCTGCTATTAAAATGCTTCGCTGGTGTATTCTTTTCATGGCCCCGGCCATGTAATCCACACACACACACACACACACACACACACACACACACACACACACACACACACACACACACACACACACACACACACACACACACACACACACACGCACACACACACACACACACACACACACACACACACACGTAGTCATCGCCCCCCTCTTGAACTCCCCCGACCGTCGTTGCCTCTGACGGCAGCGCCGGGCCCCCTCGGACGCCGAGGCGCGCGGAAAATCTCACGCCACGGACGCCTCCTCCTCGCTCTGGGGCGCCTCCTCCTCACTCTGCAGCCCCGACTGGATGATCCTCTGGGCCTCCTCCACCTGGCGCTTGAACGCCTCGCGGCGTGCCTCCGCCTTCTCCAAGTCGTCGGCCTTCTGCCTGGCCACCTCGGCGTTCCACTTGTCCTCCTTGGCCTGCACCTTCACAACCTCCTCCGCGGGCAGGTAGCGGACGCGCTTCTTGTGGACCTTCTCTTAGCGGACGAAGAGCGGTCCCGCATATACGCTGCTCCGCAGTCGGGGACGCGTGCCCCATGGCGGCTGGAAAGTTTCTTCTCCGACGCGCCACGGGGGGTGTACGGTCGGGAACTGTTTTGCTTAGCGTGTCGCGGCGGTGGCCCCGCGACGCCGTCCGTTGATGCCGTTTGCTCTTGCATCGAGGAAAAAACTGGATTGACAGAGCCATGTCACTGGAGATCTGGGCTCGCTCACTCAAGCCCACCTTCGGGGTCCCGTCAGGGACGTTTGCATGCCGTCGGGGATCTTCTGACCCGGGTCAATCCAGACCCGGGTCAGTCAAGCCTGCAGGATCCTGCAAGCTCCTGCAAAATCCTGCACCCAAACCCGGGTCAATGCGAAGGATCCTGCAGGATCCTGCAGGATCCTGCACCCAAACCCGGGTCAATGCGACCCTGGCCCTGCAGTATCCTGCAAGATCGGGCGCTCTGGCTGACCCCCGTTTGCATTGACCCCCGTCTCGAGGCTTCCGATGCCGTGTCGCGGCGGCGGCCCCGGCGACACGCCATGCTGCCCTGCGAGCGGAGAGCGTGTCGCTCCGCTCCGCGGAGCGGGAGGCTGCGCACGGCTCGGGACGTCGACGCCCGGGAACTGGGGCGGAGTCGGCGTGTCGCACCCGCCGCCTGGCGGGCCAGAACTGGTGGAGCGACACGCCAAGCCAAAGTTCCTGACCATAGATCGCGTGTGAGGTGTCTGGCAGGCCTGCAGTTCTCGAGGGGCGACGCCCCCCATTTCCCCCCCCCCCCCCCGGCGCACGCCGCGTTACAAAAAACCGAACCTCATCAAAGTTCATCCAGGCGCCCTGCTCGGCCTCCAGATCCCCCGAGACCGCTCCAGGACACGGCTGCGAAGAGTCCCCAGGACCAGCCAAAGAAGGCTGGAAAGTTGATATCCCGACGCGCACCGCGGGGTGCAAACTTTCCAACCGCCCTGAGACAAGCGCCCACAGCTCGGCGGCGAGCGAGGACGGGAAGTGAGAAGAAGGCGCTCGCAGCAGGCGGCGGGACTTCCCAGGAGCCCTCGCGCCGTCTGAAGTTTTTCGTGTCTTCCGGACAGGCTCAGAACACTTCTCGGAAGGCCGGGGGACTTCCGAGCCTTCTGAGAAGGCCTTTCCCCTTTCACTTCCCCCCTGGGCTCGCCGCCGAACAAGGGCGGACCACACGATATCTTCCACGATAAACCCAACCCTGAGACCCCAGGACGTCCATTGATTTGTTGCGTAGGAGCGTCACGCTTTCCATGGCAGAGCCATCGAAACCCAAGACACCCAGGGCACCCTGGAGGCAAGCAAGGTGTTTCGTGGCATGCGTCTCCACTGTACCCTTCTTCGTCCGCTGGACCTGGCTCTGCTTCTTCCGCTCGACCCGGAGCCTGCGCCGCTCCGCTGCCGCCTCGGTGGCGTTGTAGCCGTTCTCCTGCTGCAGCTCGCGCACGCGCTGGGCCCACATGTCCTCGGAAGGACAAAAGAATACGAGGCAGGAATCAACACATGTATGTATGTATGCATGCATGCATGCATGCATGCATGCATGCATGTATCTATGTATGCATGTGTATGTATGTATATACGTACGTACGTATGTCTGTACGATGTATAGAAATATGTGTATATGCATGTTTGTATGTATGTGTGTATGCATGTGTGGACGTGTGTGCATGCATGTATGCATATATGGTTGAATGTATGTATATGTGTATGAATGTATGCATGTATATCTGTATATGTGTATGCAAGTGTGTATGCATGTATGTATGCATGTATGCATGTATGTGTATGTATGTATGCATGTATGCATTCATGTATGTATGTATGTATGTATGTGTGCGTGTGTATGTATGTATGTATGTATGTATGTATGTATGTATACATGCATGCATGCATCTATGTATGTGTGTATGTATGTATGAATGTGTGTATGGATGTGTGTATGCATGCATGTGTGTAGGTATGTGCGTATGCATGTGTGTATGTGTGTATGTATGTATGGATGCATGCATGTATGTTTGTGAGTATGTATGTATGTATGTATGTATGCATGCATGCATGCATGCATGCATGTATGTATGTATGTATGTGTGTGCGCATGTGTGTATGTGGATACATGTCTGTATACATGTACGTACGCAGATACGTATGTATGCATGCACGTATGTATATATGCATGCTGTATGTGTAGATGCATGTATGTATGGGTGTGCGTATGTATGTGTGTATGTATGTGTGTATGTATGTACCTATGTATGCATGTATGTATGGATATGCGGTTGTATGTTTGTATGTACGCATGCATGCATACATGCATGTGTGTATGTATACATGCATGTTTGCAACATCTATACATATATATATGTATGCATACATACATACATATATATATATGCACATACACATATATACACTTGTGATGCCATGATGCGATTGGCTCAGGATTTACCATAATTCCGAGATGCCCTGTTTCAGAAGACCGTGCAAAACAAGTCTGACATTGATGAAGCGTTGGCAATTTGGAAAATCCTGGAACGGATTACTATCATGGCTCCGCGCTCGACTCTGAATATCCAGATCCACCGCCTGGGCAATCGACGACCTGGGACCTCAACGGGCGGTTGATACGGATAGATTCCAGCCCAGTGGGCCCGAATCTATCCACATCCATCGCATGCCGAGGTTCCCAAAGATCGACCCCCCAGGCGGTGGTTATGGATAAATCCCCACCTCGGAACAAGTCGGCACGCACGTGCACATTCACTTTGGAAGTCCGCGCGAATTTCTTGGACTGGAGCTGGGCTGTCCCCTCCCCTGTGCGCGGCGCGCGTCCATGGCGGGGCTGGAGGCGCCCCCAGGGGGGTCCAACGCCGATCCAAGCAATCCGCGCGGACCTCCGAGCGTTTTGACGAACGGACAGCACACCCCATTACTTGTAGACCCGCGCCTCGCGACTTAGGGCTGCGCTATAAGAGTAGGCGCGGGTTGCGGGGCCCCGTGGGGGGCCCCCGTTCGAGCGGTGACCCCAGCCGACAACACGCACCCACAGCCCTTCCAGAAGTACCCCTCGACAAATATGGGTTCGTATAGGCATGGCTGCTAGTTGTCAGCTCATGCAGCTCACGCCTGCGAGCATTTTTTGTCCGGCTTTTCGACATTGGGCGCCAAGGGGGGGGAAGGGGGGGGTCTGGCTCCAGACCTCTGCTTAGTGAGACTGTTTGCAAGAGTGCAGCTTCCAGGGGGAGCTTCCACCCGCTCGAAACAGGCGCCAAAAAACAGTCACGATCTACTCCAGGGGGGGTGGGGTTGGGGGCCCGCGCCGATCGGCAAAACAAGTAATAAAAAACGACCACTTTGCGCAGACTTGTCTTCTCCTGTTCAGGAGGGGGCTCGCCGCGGCCACCCTCCACCCCGCCTCCTGACGGGGCCCTCACCGCCTCTCCTCGCGCTTCTCTCTCTCCGCCTGATCCCCGGGCTTGCCGTCGCTCGGACGTCCATTTCCCGTGCATTTTTCGATTTCGTGCGTGTTTTTTTTTTTGCTCGATGGTCCAAGATGGTCCTCGATGGTTCTCGCAAAGAAAAAATGCACACGTCCGAGCGATGCTAAGCGGGCCGTCTGCGCGGAGACAAGGCGTAGTGAAGGCAGCGCGCGAGCCTGCAGGTCGAGGCCGTGGCAGTGGCTCGGCCGGGAGCCCGTTGCCTCCTGCTTCGCGATCCCTGGGCTCAGCGCGCACACAGTCAACGCGCGCTGCTAGCACGGCCCCTGACGGGGCCTCTGAGGCAAAAAGCGGCTGCGGAGCTTGGGAAGCCCCCCTCTTCGGCGACACGGAAGAGGGTGACCCTGCGTCAGAGCGGCCTCTGGAGGGCGTCTCTTGGGGGGCCGAACGGGGGACCAGACCCTCAGGCGCGCAATGCGCTCCCAGCGCATCGCGCTCGGCGATCGGGGGGCCCCATCGGGCCCGCACCAGAGGTCATTATGGCGAAAGGTCACTTGTATGTCTGCAGTTTGGGCCCGACCACAGGAAACATTCCACGAGAAACCCAACCAAGAGACCCCAGGACGTCCGGTGATTTCTGGCGTGGGAACGTCACGCTTTCCATGGCAAAACCATCGAAACCCAAGAAACCCAGGGCACCCTGGAGGCAAGCAGGGTGCTTCTTGGCATGGGCCTCCGCGTCTAGTCGAGCCCCTTGGGCACGTCACGCTTCGCATCGGCGCCGGCTGGGCATCGGCCATCCCCAGGCGTTCCCAGACGGCGCCTGCACGAGTCGTGACGTGCGCGACCAGCCCCGCCGCCCCCACTTTACCCCATGACTCGCGCCGGCGCCGTCTGGGAATCAGCGAATCCTGTGCGTTCCCAGACGGCGCATGCGCGAGTCGCGGCGTAACAGGCTCCCAAGGGGTAAACAACTGATTTTCAGGGGGCGCAAAAATGTATTTTCAGGGAGGGCGCAACGTCGATAACTTGCGCGACCGGCCCCGCCGCCCCCTCTTTAACCCCCCCTTTCGGCAACGCGCAAGAGCGACCCTGGGTAAGAGTGACCTCCGGCGCGCGTCTCTTGGGGAGCCGAACGGGGGACCAAACACAAGCGCGCAATGCGCTCCTGGCGCATCGCGCTCGGCGATCGGGGGGCCCCATCGGGCCCGCACCAAAGGTCACTCTGGCGAAAGGTCCCTCTTACGTCCAGTCGAGCCCTTGCGCACGTCGCGATTCGCGCCGGCGCCTTCTGGGCATCAGCCATTCCCAGGCGTTCCCAGACAGCGCCTGCGCGAGTCGTGTTTGGACGCCCGAAATGGGTACGGAAAAAATGGGTACAATGCCCAACAACAACTGTTGTCCCAAACCAGCAGCGGCCGCTGCTGGGCAGGCGGCCTTCTGTCTCAAACGAACACAGGCCGCGGCGGCGCCGACAGCGAGTCCTGTTCAAAATGAACAGGAACTGCTGTTGGGCATTGTACCCATTCTTTCCGTACCCATATCGGGCGTCCAGATCGTGGCGTGACAGGCTCCCTCTCCCCTTCCCCCGCCCCCCCGGTCACACCCGCTATCGCCAGGGGGTAAAAAACTGATTTCCAGGGAGGGCGCAGCGCCCATCCAAGACATCCGCGTGGACCTCCGAGAAGTCTACGGCCGCGCGGCCCATGCTTCGAGGCGGGAGAGAAAGAGAGAGGACGGATCGAGAAGGAGGGCAAAGTAAGGAGGATGCAGGATTGGGGATCGCGTATCGCGGTTAATGCCGATCTCCCTTCTTCGAGTCCTTCCACTCCGAGGTCTTCTTCGCCCACGCCTTGCTGCGCTCGATGTTGGACGCGGTCTGGCTGTCATGCGCCTGACGGTGGGGCGCTGAGGTGGGTCGGGGGCAGAAGGAGGTGGGGTTCGAGGGAAGCCGTTCGATGATCCCCAGAAAGTGTGGGCGCCAACCTTGGCTTGTCCATCGAGGCCCTTCGACGCGAGGCAACGTAGTAAAGGGCCGACGCAGGCTACTTGCTATCGGTGGAACAGGAGAGCGTTCGATATTTGCCGCGATAATGGCCATTGCCAGCCCTGGCCGCCTTCCCCCCCAAAGGTAACGTCATGATTCGGTCACCTCCGGAAAGTTCTGGGTTATTCCTTAACGCTCCGATACAGCGCTGGCCCGAAACGGAACGTCACCGGCCCCCCGCCCACCACCCCACCCCTCCGGTAACGCCCGTTATCGCCCAGGAAAGAAAAGCGTTCCCAAGTACGGAGCAACACAAACACACAGACACACACACACACAAGCACACACACACGCACATGCACACGCACACACACCACCTTGCTAACACACGTTCCGAGGAGCTTCGAAGCGTTCTATCAACGGCGCCTGGGAGAGGGATGTGCTCCATCTTCCCCAGACATCCTCCGATATGATTGCTGTTCAATCCGCGGCCCGATCCAAGGCGGTAGATTTGCGCCCCAGCCCCATGTTTGCTAGCTCCGGGGCCCGATAATGGCCCCAGAAATGGAGATCGAGGGAAAACTGCGGGGTTGAAATAAATCCAGAAGACAGCCAAAAATACACATCCTGCGGTCATCGCGATTATATATGGTCGAGGGTTTGGGCCCCCCCCCACCCCCCCCCCAAATGCTAATGCCATCGGGCTCCCCCCCCCACGCGATGCCCCCCCCCCCCCTGTGGGCGTGGGCGTGGCGTGGTGGCTCCCCCCCCTGTGGATGTGGTGGTGGGCGTGGTGTGTTGCTGTGGGTGTGTGCGGGGTGACGCCATGGTCCTCCTCCCCCCCTCCCTCCCCCCCTGTGGGTGCGGTGTGGGTGCGGCGTGTGGCTGGGATTGGCGTCATTTTGACAGCCCCCAGTGCTCGACGTCGTCGCCGCCGCCGCCGGTGGTGCCGACGTCGTCGTCGTCGTCGTCGTCGTTGTCGTCGTCGTCGTCGTCGTCGTCGTCGTCGTCGTCGGTGTCGTCGTCGTCGTCGTCGTCGTCGTCGTCGTCGTCGTCGTCGTCGTCGTCATTGCCGTCCTCTCCTCCTCCTCCTTCCTCCTCCTCCTCCTCCTCCTCCTCCTCCTCTCCTCCTCCTATCTGGGGGGGGGCGAGGACCCTGGGACCCATCCCATCTGGGGGGGGGGGCCCGAGGACCTGGAGCCCGCGATCATATATGATCCAGGGTCGAGGGCCCACGGCCCCCCCCCCCCCCAGATGGTATGGTCCCAGGATTCCTCGGCCCCCCCCCCCAGATGGTATGGTCCCAGAGACGACGACGACGACGACGACGACGACGACGACGACGACGACGACGACGACGACGGCGACGACGACGACGACGACGACGACGACCACGACGACGACAACGACGGCTGCGGCGGCGACGACGCCGGCGGCGGCGGCGACGACGACGATGACGACGATGACGACGGCGACGACGACGATGACGACGACGACGATGACGACGACGACGAGGACGACGAGGACGACGAGGACGACGAGGAAGACGAGGACGAGGACGAGGACGACGACGACGACGACGACCTCCGAACCACCACAGCACCACACCACATCCACAGGGGGGGGGAGGGGGGCACCGCAGCGCAGCACCACGCCACGCCCACCTCTGAACCACCACAGCACCACACCACATCCACAGGGGGGGAGGGGAACCGCAGCGCAGCACCACGCCACGCCCACAGGGGGGGGCGGGGGGGACCATCGCGCGGGGGGGGGCCCAATGGCATCAGCATTGGGGGGGGGGGGCCCAAGCCCTGGACCATATATGAGTGGCGCTGGACCGCCCTCCCTGGTGCGCGGAGCGCGCCAGGGCCGGCGCCAGAGGCGCCGCCAGGGAGGCCCAGCGCCGATACAAGAAATCCGCGCGGACCTCAAAGAAATCAGAATGATGCCATTCGTTGTTGCATCGAGGAAAAACTGGACTGACAAAACCACATCGTTGGAGATCTGCGCTCGCTCACTTGGACCCACGTTTGGGGTCCAGCGGCGGCCTTGGCGACACGCTGAGCCTTGCAAGCGGATAGCGCGTCGCTCCGCTCCGCGGGGCGGAAGACCGTGAGAGGCTCGGGGCGTTAACGCTCGGGAATGGGACGTGGATAAGCGTGCCGCGCCGCAGCGTGGCGGGCCAGGACTGGCGGACCGAGACGCTGAGCCAAACCTGAGGGACGACGATCGGGGGGGACCAGCTGAAGCAAGGGCTCCCAACTTCGCGCTTCGCGCTGCGCGAAGCGCGAAGCGCGAATAACTTCGCGCTCTCGCGCCGCCCTCCCAAAGGGAGAATAGGAGGACGAGGAGGAGGGGGAGAAGGAACGAGGACCGCGAAGCGCGAAGCGCGAATAACTTCGCGCCCTCATGGGAGCCCTTGCTGAAGAGGGACAACGATCGAGCCGGAACCAGCGATACATCCATCGCCGGTAGGTCGGCGATGGGCCCCGGATAGCAGATCCGCACGCTCCTGGGTGGGGTGGGTCATCGGGCCCCCATCTTGCCGTCGCTCTTTCGGACGTCCCTTTCCCGTGCATTTTTCGATTTCGTGCGTGTGTGTTTTTTTTTGCTCGATGTTCCAGGATGGTCCTCGATGGCTCTCGCCGAGAAAAAATGCACACGTCCGAGCGGTGCCAAGCCATCGGCGATCCATCGGCCACGGGGGCTTGCTGCCTCTCCCCCGGAGCCCATGCCCCCCCTGGCACTGACCCCTGGTCTTCGGGTCACTGCTCGGCTCCCTGGCGGCCGCTGCGAGCGATTCCAGCACCCCAGGAGCGGCCGCGGCGAGGTGCAGCTGTTGGAGAGCACCCCGAGGCTGGAGAGCTGCCGCGAACCTCCGAAAACGCCCGAAGACCTTGCACATCAGACCTCGAAACTTCTCATGCAGCCCTTGACCCCCCCAAACGCTTCCCTTCGAAACTTCGTCCCCCCTTACCGATGCCCCTCACAACCTCCGCGCACGCGGCCCCCGGGCCTGGCGCTGCTTGGAGGCCTCGCCACGCAGCCGGTCCACCCAAGCGGACTCCGAGGCCCGGCGCACCTCCTCTGCGGCACGGAAGGACAGCCCCGACGTCCAGCGCCGTCGCCAACGATCGACGTCGTCGTCGATGTCGCCGTCGCCGTTGCCGTCGCCGTCCCCGTCGTCGTTTCGTCGTCGCCGTCGCCGTCGCAGTCACTCGTCGCCATCGCCGTCGCTCGTTGCTCGTCGCTCATCGATCGTCGACGTCAGCCATGGACCCTTGCTACACGTCGGCCTTGGTTGGTCTTCGGCGGACTTCTGGCGGCTTCGACGGTCTTTTCGCGGTCGTCGGAGGTCTTCTGACGGGCTGCGGCGGTGTTCTGCCGGTCTTTGGTGGATTCCGGCGGCCGTCGGCAAGCTTCGGCGAGAAGGCTGGGTAGCTGCGTTCATCAAGGGTTCCAGGATCGAATGCCCAACCTTACTTACAAGGGGACGAGTGGATTATAAATGAATGCGAAGGTGTATTATATCCGGCCTAACCTAGCTCATAAATGGATCGCAAATGCCCTAGATGTTTCAGGGGGGTGGCTGATCTGGTCCAAGTGGGTGGAGACCACTTCGCGGAGTTACAGAATCACCCTACGGGCACTTGTAACCAACATAAAGAAGATTAGGCCATATACAGCCTCACTGCTCACACTGATCTTGGCCTCCAGGGGGCTTTGACAGGATCAGGGGCCGTCCAAAAACGGCACAGGATGTATGAAACGACCCACGATGTTGGCTGGGACAGCGGTCGGGACCCCAAGGACCCCGCACTGGGAAAACCGAAAAATACCAATACCGCTACTCCCTAGACCTCTCCCGGGGTGCGTTCTGACCAGAATTTCGAAGCGAATCCAGCGGTGGCGACGAGGGCCTCCCAAGAGGCCCAGAAGAGGCGAAAACGAAGGAAAGAAGAGTAATGCTATGGGTACCTGTTCGTCCTCTGACGCACTGTGAACAAACTCATGCCATCTGCCGTTTCGGCAAGGGTCCCGATGGAAACGGGTCCTGAATCCCAGTGGGCTTACCATCCCAAGCCGGCTCCGTCCGTCTGGCGGCCCCCGGGGCCCTGCGGATGGCCCAGGGAGAGGCCAGAACCCGCGAGCAAAAACTCCAGAGCCGCCGGTTCCCCTCGGAACCCCCTTCCTGCACGTCGGGAGCGTGCAAGAGAGGGGCGTCCGAGAGGGAACGTCCGCAAATCATGACCCGAGGCACGGGCGCGGCCCAGGAGGGGCCAGGGGGACGCACTGCAGAAAGAAGAAGGGGAAGAAGACGAGGAAGAGGGGGCCACGGCCACAAACCAGGGAGGTCACATGGCCCCCGCGACGATCTGCCCCCCCCCCCCTGGTCATCACCCCCTCCTGTTGGACGCCCCCGCTCGTGGCGACTCCTGCTTGATCTGCTCGGCGACCCCGGGCGGCTGGGCCGCGTCGACCACCCTGTCGCCGTGGGCGCCGCTGCCGAGGGCCACCCCGCACGAGAGGAGCCCGAAGTCGGAGTGCCCCGAGGCGCGGAGCGCGGACTTCAGCGCCGCCCCCCAGGAGGCCGAAGGGGACTCCTCCATGAGCTTCCACGCGCGCAGCAGCATGTCGGTGACCTGCGCTCGGTGAGGAGGAGGAGGAGGAGGAGGAGGAGGAGGAGGAGGAGGAGGAGGAGGAGGAGGAGGAGGAGGAGGGGGAGGGGAGGAGAGGAGGAGAGGGGGAGGCGGAGGAGGAGGAGGAGGAGGAGGAGGAGAAGGAGGAGGAGGGAGGAGGAGGAGGAGGAGGAGAAGGAGGAGGAAGAGGAGGAGGATGAGGAGGGGGAGGAGGAGGAGGAGGAAGAGGAGGAGGAGGAGGGAGGAGGAGGAGGAGGAGGAGGAGGAGGAGGGGGGAGGAGGAGGAGGAGGAGGAGGAGGGGGAGGAGGAGGAGGAGGAGGAGGAGGAGGAGGAGGAGGAGGAGGAGGAGGAGGAGGAGGAGGAGGAGGAGGAGGAGGAGGAGGAGGAGGAGGAGGAGGAGGAGGAGGGGGAGGGGGAGGGGGAGGGGGAGGAGGAAGAGGAGGAGAGGAGGAGGAGGAGGAGGAGGAGGAGGAGGAGGAGGAGGAGGAGGAGGGGAGGGGGAGGAGGAGGAGGAGGAGGAGGAGGAGGAGGAGGAGGAGGAGGAGGAGGGAGGAGGAGGAGGAGGAGGAGGAGGAGGAGGATGCAAACCCGTGGAGACCAGGTCAAGCCTGGGCACGACATCACATTCAAGCCTGGGGGAACTTGCCGCCACTCTTGGGAGGAAGACCACGAGCCAACCTGGACAGGACCTCCCTCCCAGCCTTCGTGGGGGGACGATCAGTCTTACAGGGTTTGGCCAGGCTTTGCACATTGCGCCCACTAGCACGGGCACCACAATGCTCGCAATACAGCACGCCGCGGAGCACATTCAACCTACGATTGCCCGCGCACGAAGGATACAAGGGGTGCGCGAGCGGATCAGAGGAAAGGTGAGCGGGGCCGAGACAAGGACCAGGACAAAAGTCCTGGACGCGGCCCTTCAAACTGAATCGACGCTCACAGATCTGGCAACGGAGAACCGTACCCTTCAAGGTCGGCTCATGACCCGCACTCCTCATCCTCCTACGGCGGACCTGGAATACAGGGATAGGAGGGGGCCGAGAGGGAGGACGGCCGAGCCGATCAGAAACACGGCGGGGGTTCTGCTCCACAACCTCCCGATGCACCGCCAGAAGGCGGTCAAGCGTGTGAGACGTGACACGATCAACAAACGCCGTCACATCAACCTGCTCGGGGGAGGGGGCCACACGTTCAGTGGCCCACCCCGCAAAGATACCAGCACACCAATTAAGGAAAAACTCCTCCTCCCCAGTGGCGAAATGGGCCCTCTGGTGGGTCGTCGAGTGGCTCTTGGTCCACAGGACGCCGACTGAACCAGGACCTCGATCGTCTAGGGCCGACCAGATCCGAACCCAAAGATCGAGCATCGAGCTGCTAGCCACGATCTGAGCCCGTGGCTGCCTCAGCCCTCTCACCAAGCGCAAATAATCAGAGTAGCACAATATATCACCCACAGTATGACTCAGAACCATGATAACTGCATAAAGTTCAGCTCGGGGACTAGACTGCTCCAAGGTAGGAAGACCACCGCACATAATGGTATCCAGCTGCAACGAGAGACCATCTGGAACCCCAAGACTGACTATAGCCCAACCACATCGCCTCAACCTCTTATCTCTGGCATGAACCCCTCCAGAGCCATCAAGGCCCCACACACCTCCAGGAACCCGATGTTGAGCCCTCAGGGTGCCCCATGTCCAGGTACAAGCAGAGGGTGGAGGTAGGTGACCACAGGATGCATCACGGCAGGGTACCCCACGAGTAAAGAAAGCACTATGAGGGTCAGCAGCAAGGGCATCATGAACCAAATATTCACTATTCACAATACTCGGATCAGTCAAGTACTGGTTACCCGGGCATCCCCACCAACGGTGCAGAGGTGTTTCCCGCGCGTCACCACATCGGAAGCAACGGCCTGAGGTCAAATGTCCACAGTCCTGCAGACGCGACTCGGGCCAAACACCTCCGACAGCAATCGTAATCAAAAGGGCGGCTCCCTTAAAGCCGCCGTCGTCGAGCAACTTCTTGTGCTTGGCGCGAAGCACAGTAAGGTCAGCACCTGTCTCTAGGCCTTGCCCGCAGAAGTGCTGAGCGGCCTTGGCCCAGACAATGGGCGAGCAAGACTCACGGACAGCCGAGGTAAGATGATATCTGACATCTGCACCAGTCAACCTAAGAGTGACACCAACACTTGCACGCCACTCATCAACACGTCGTGGTTCCCATCCTAGATCCAGAACAGTAGCATACAGGGCTGCAATGGGACCTCGAACGAGACGCCACCGACTCGACTCCTGCGGCTTACCGATCGTGTCGTGCAGGGCCTCCCAGACTCTCCGAACTCCAGACCGAAAACCTTCAGGAAGAAAAACCCAAACTTCCGAAATCAAGGTAAGTTGTTCAACACGGAGCCGATAAACAGGATCATCTTTAGTATCATGCAACACTCGCAACACAGTGCTAACACAAGCCCCAGACGATCAATATCCAGAGCACGCTGCTGCCGAGGATCTGAACTGCCCAATAGCACCCGCAGGAAGCTCAAGGAGAGCATGGCCCCAGGTACCCACTGCCAAAATGCCTGGCTTGAAAACCTTCCGAGAAGCCCCACAAAGCTTGGCAAGGTAACTCAACTTCCTGGCACGACGGAAAGCGAGCGAGCGTCTCTGCTGGACCTTCCAGGCGGATCGCCTTTTATTGGCAGTAGTGACAGATCCAAGATCCTTCACTCCCTCAGCAAAAGAAATGGAGACTTCATATCTCCTGAACTCGTCCTGCAGGGGCCGCTGCAGCTCCACGGACGAGGCGATTGCAAGCGACTTAGAGCTGACGACACACCCCAGCTCAGAGATATCATGCTGAAAATCGGCAGCGGCCTGGGGCAGGTAGCGGCAGATGAAAGCGACAGAGCCTTGCAGGTACTGTGTGATGTCGTCAACATACGACCTAATTGGGACACGAACGTGTGGGTGGTCTCCAGGTCCTCGAGGGATCCTATTATGAGCCTTCTCCAGGACCCCGTAAAGGTAGCACTTGACCCAGGGCATACGTTGACAACAACCCGCCAAGATGGACTCACCAGAGGCCAACACCTTCGAAAGACTCCCAGACACTTCCAAAAGCCTCGGAGACGTGTGAATGAGGAGCCCCATGTACAACAGGTGGGCGGGGTGGAGGAGGAGGAGGAGGAGGAGGAAGAGGAGGAGGAGGAGGAGCAGGAGCACCACACCGACTAACGAAGTCATCGCATTAGCATGCATCAAAACAAAAACAAACAGGTTAGCCTTCGTCCGAGAAATCCGCCTCCTCGCGCTTTCTCTGGTCAAGGACTCGCTGCCCTAACTCCTCAGCTTGGGCGCGAGAGGAGAATCCAAATAGCGCAAGGCCTCGGACGAGGTCGACGCCGACCCGCTCAACAGCTGGGCCGGGTCCAAGAGCTGGCACATCTGCGAGGCCCAGCTTCGATGCCAGGAAGGTGCGCGAGGCGTCGGAGAGCGATGTCGCCGCTCCGACGCGACCGCCCTTGCGGGACGGATGCTTACCACGCAAAATCCAAGCCAATTGCCTCTCGCGGCCATCGGAACGGGACCCCGAGCAATCCGACACGAGAGAGCTCCGTCCCCAGGACCTCCCAGGATGGCCAACAGATCCACAGGTGGTGCAAAACACCAAAGTATCCATAGGAGCTCCGCCTGTGGAGGACACGGGAGCCTCGATGCACGAATGGCCACGGGCCTTCCAGGGCCTGAGAAGGGCCCACGCCTCTTCCCCAGGCGGCGGCGGGGGGGCGGGGGAGGGCAGCGCCTCGCCTTCATCCCTCGCTTCGCCGCCAACTTCCGCGCGCTCCCCTCCCACGACGGACGACCCAGGCTCGACGACCCCAGCCCCCTCATCCTCGCCGCCATCATCGGCGTCGGCTGGAACCTGAAAACTGCCGAGATCGACGTGGCGCAGCCAATCGAGTGGGACATGGTCGAAGACGGCGGCATCAGCAATCATCGCCTCCTGACGCGCCGAATACCGAGAGACAAGCCGTGCAATCTCATGACATCCGATGATGACAAGGCGATCGCAATAATCACTGCGATACATCTCTGCCCCCTGGCGCGCATACAAGTCAGCCGCACGGTTGCCCAACCACTGAACACGCGTCAGGCGGCCATCGATCACGTCCCTCTCTGTGCAATGGGAAGGGACCTTACAAACACTGCAATCATCAAGTTTATCATGCACCTGTGCCCACCAGTGGGCCCTCATGCTGTCCGGCCCTGCGGCCGACCTCGGATCCCTAGCGCAATCCACCGTGCCCGCACAATCAATGTGCAGGCTGGAGCCTGGGCACAGCACAGCATTGAGCACCAGCTGGAGGACGGCGAAGTCCTCGCCGTCTCTCGCAGCCTGGAGGGGTGCCTCCGAAAATGGCACTACCCCCCAGATGTACGACTGGACGACCCCCTCCCCGTCCGTAACCACGACCGCCCATCCCGCCACTCCCAGGGACGGCAGATGGCCCTCGAAGGCCGAGCCGTCGGTGAAAACATGCATGCCAGACCCGATCATCAGTCCATCGGCCGGCCAATTAAAGCGATGCATGTAACATGAGGTGGGGTCGGGGGCCTTGCGCCCGAACCAGGCCGAGGGGTCAGGGAAAACCGCCCTGGAGAACAACTCCTGGGCCCGACCCGAAAGACAAGACACGAACCGTGCCGCCTCCCTGACTTCGCACGGGAGCTCTTCTCTCCTCCAAGCCGAGTGAGCGGGGCAAGCAAACCGGCGATGAAACAAGGACCCAGGCTCCCCACAGCGGAGGCGTTCAGGGCGGATATCTTCGCACTTCTCGGCGAAACGCTGCTGGCACCAATACCTGTTCGCCAGCAGCCCTCTGAGCACGCGCTGGTGGTGAGTCGTCCAGCCCTCAGACGCTCTGGCAGCCAGAAGGTCCTGGGCAGGGCGGGAGCAGATCGGGCCAGACCATTCACCCACGAACGACGACTGACGACTCTGCTCCTCGGCCACAATCGCATCCCAGCACGCCCGCCGACAAAGCATGGCGAAAAACTCAGGCGAGAAACGAGCCAAAGACCAAGCCACTCCACGGTGGTCCACCAGGCTGTCTCGATCGAGGTCTAGGTCCCATCCTATCCTACGCAGGGTCAGGATGAGGGCGGCAATTGGCTGCTTCACCGCACTCCATGGCCTCTTTGTCCCGAGAATCTCACGGGCGTCTTCCGCCGCAGAGGCGAACACGGGCCGGGAGACCGACCGGTGCCACCAGACCGATACGAATGTTTTTACCGCGGCGACGGTGAGATGTACAAGAGGGTCGCTCGTCCACGACGAGCTGAAGAGCAGCGAGAAGCCGAGAGATGAGCCAGGCTGGAGCGGCCCATGGCTACGAGCTGCTGCAACTCGAAGCCCTCGCAAAGCCGAGTTGCTGACCCCCAAGACGGGCGCTCCCCAGCATGCTTTGGCCGCGGGGCCCGCCCTGAAGACGCGGAACGCGTTCTTGCCTCGGCCTAAATTCCGAAGCCGGCTCGCTGATGCCAGAGCCTCCGAAAAACGCGCTGACTGAATCGGGATCCTGCGCCGAGAGCCGTCCAACGAGTCCCCCCCAAGGTCCCGATGGGTCTCGGACAACAGTGAAACGTCTAGCGGCCACTCGGGGTCATTAAGCAAGAGGTCGAGCAGCGCGTTGTCCGAGACCATAAAACAAGTTTTGGACGTATTGACTGGCAGCTCTAGCTGCTGCATGGCTGCTAAGACCAAGTTGACGGCTTTGACTAGTTGCGCTGCGACCGTTCGTACGCCCCCTACTGCGTGCAACTTAACATCATCAACGAGATTGATGGGGCGACATACTGGCGTCTCCAACGCCACAGCTTTCAAAACGCAGAGGGTGAGCAATTTCACAACCCCCGTCGCACAAGAACATCCTGCAACTACGGTTCCATTTGGCACAATAGCACGCGACGTTGCCGACATCCATCGTACTCGGCGAGGCCCGCGGTAGAGCGCGCAAAGCGACCGGAGCAGGCCGAGATCAAACGAGTAATGAACTGCTGCCTGCTTCATGGCCATGTGCGACACATTTTCGTAAAAACGAGACAAATCAAAAAAGACAGAGCCACTCACCATGCCGTGCCGACGCGCATGCACCACAAAAAGGTTGTGCACGTACGCCGCCCGATCCGCCGCCGTGTCGCCGGATTTGCCCCAGAAGAAGGCTTCGTCCACGCTGATCTCCCAGCGGCGAACCTCCCTCTGCCTGATCCTCGACCACACCCGGCCCCACATGCACAGGAGGCCGATGGGGCGCCGCCCCAACTGGGGCGGCGGCTTCGGCAAGAAGACCATGATCGTGAGCCACAGGTCGACCATGACGGGGGACTGCTCCCAGCGGTTCAAGATGGCCACGAAGCGCTCCAGCAGCGCCTCGCTGAGGAGGAGGAGCGACCGAGGGTGGAAGTTGTCCCAGCCGAGCCCCGTCTGCAGCGGGAAACGCCGAGCCACGTCCCTCACCTGATCCGTGGTGATCGGCGGGAGGCTTGCATGGACTTGCCACTGGCTCGCCGCCTCCTCCGACTCTCTGGACGGTTTGATCCACAAGCTGAGCCACTCGTTTAAGATGGCCTCCGCCGCCGCCGAGCCGACTTGCGGCAAATGTCGAGGGTCGCCGGGCTCCTCAACCGCCTGCGATTCGCCGCGCTTCTGCTTGATGAGGCGATGGGCCACTCGGCCAGGGCCGTCCAATGACTCCGCGCAGAATGCGCGCCAATCTTTGGCCCGCTGCGCTGCGTCAGCCCTGCGCCGCTGTCCAACTTCATCATCAAGCAGCCCGTCGAACCAGTTGGCCAGCGGGCCGTCCCGGCTGGCCAGCCCAAGCCATTGCAAGCGGGTGCCGCGGACCAAGGCTGGTGCCTCGGAGATCGCCGGCGGCAGCTCGAGCGCCGAGGCCTGCTCGACAAGCCGGTCGTGCAGCACCTGTCGGCGGGCACGAGACCCGGGCTTCGCTTGACCCCAGCGCCGCAACGCCCGCCAGCAGCGTTGAAAGCCGGCCCAGGCCTCGGTGCCCGAGGTGTCGAGCTTCCTCTGCCTGGCCACGTGCAGCTCGCTGAGCGGCCGCTGCACCATCTTGATGCCTCTGCCGCGGCCCAAGTAGTGCCGTATGCTGGCAGAGTCGACTTCCAGCTTCTTCACCAAATGCCGCTCGGCCAAATCGAACCACCTGCTGCACGCCATACCTAGGTCGAGCAGCGGCTCCGCTAGCTCGGCCGTCTCGGCCTCAAGAGCCTCAGCCGGCGCCTGCAGCTTCAGGAAGGCCCCCCTCGTCTTGGGCAGGCAAAACGCCCTCCGAGGGTCCTCGACCCACACCATGGGGGCCGTCCAGAAGTTCTGCAAGCGCATCAAAACGCAGCTGTGTGTCCCCACTGGCGTGTCGAAGCAGGCAGCTGGCTCCTCGGCCCTGTGCGAGAGGAAAGACGAGGCCACGAAGTAGTCGTACTCCGAAGCCCCGCACGTGGGCGAATCTGAGGCCAGCAGCACTCCGCCAATTTGGTCCACCCACCTGGATGCCAAGAGGACCTCCGGCTCCACATTCCAGTCGGCACCGATCAGGAACGGCTCGCTGAACTGCCCGACGAGGCCACTCACGTACTCCAAGATGTCCATGTTCTCCCCCGCCAGGCCGATGGACGTGACGAGGTAGAGGGACAGCAGGAGCAAGGTAGCGCCGTTACCAAGGTGCGCTCGCCTCACAATCACCCGATGGGCCCAGACGTCGTCAATCGCAACGGCTTGGCCCAATGCGATTGAATTGGCCACCGCAATGCCGACTCCGCCTGAGACCGCCATGCGGCCAGCCCCAGTGCGCTGAACAGGCCCCTGGGCGAGCTGCATACCCTGCCTGGCGCACCATTGGTGAGCGGAGCCGACGGCCTCCGCGTCGAAAAACCTGGTCTCCTGGACGAACAAGATGTCGGGCCGCCGCCCTCTGGCCTGCAGCCATTCCCCCACCGCCCTGGCCCCCGCCCAAGTGTCGCCATTGACTGTGCCGACGGTCAGGGCGTCCAGCGACAGGGGCCGAGTAGCTGGCACCGACGAGTCCAGCTCCAGCAGCAACGGGGCCGCCGAAGCGGCGCTTCCATCCAGCTGCGATGGGGGAGCGGGGACCGACGCCTTGACCGCCACCGCTCCGGGGGCCGCAGGCGCCGCCGCAGACACAGCCCGCGCCCTGGCGGGCGCCTCTGCGCGCCCGGGCCCAGGCCCAGCGCCCGGCAGCACGCCGGCTCTCGGTGACCCTGGAGGCCCCTCGGCAGCGCCGAGAAGGTCACCGGCCGCGGCGCCGCCTCCGGGGGCGCCTGCACAGGGCTCGGCGGGGCGCCGCGCGGCCGCGGCAGCGCCAGCAGCGGCTTCGGCAGCGCCCCTGGCGGGCTCGCACGGCGCCGGCAGCGCCCCCGGCGGGCTGGCAGGGGCGGCGCGGCGCCTGCCCTGGCCTTCCGCTGCTGGGCGGGCATGGCGCCTTGCGCGACGGGCCATGCGTGCCTCATGCGCCTCCCCATCGGCAAGCGCGACGCACGAAACCTCGTCGTCGCTGATCTCGATGGGAATCATCTGGTAGCCAGGAGGTGCTGGCAAGGCCCCTCCTCCGGACCAGAATCCTGCTGCCGAGGACGACGGCGGCTCCCGAGGGCGCTCCGGCTCGCTGGGGAGGCCGCCAGAGCCGCCGGGCAGCACTGCCAAGGCCGCCCGGCGGGCCGCTTCCGGCGGGGCTGCCGGGCAAGCCGCCGCCGAGCACCAGGAGCCGTGCAGCCACACCCAGCTGACGTCGGGGCTCCGATCGAGCCCGACCACCTGCAGGTCAGAGCGGCGCACGAAGTAGACAAACGGCGACGACGCGGCAGAGCCCATCAGACTGCGCGCCATCTGATCTGGTGCACCGTCAACTGCTGGGAAGGTGCTCGCAGCCGCTGGGCTGCTGCCGAGAATCGGAAAGACCGTAGCCATCATGACGACGAGGCGCATCAAGCTAGAAAGGAGCGGCACCCGCAGGCCCCTTACCAGCTCCCTTGGACATGGTCGTAACCGCAGCGGCCCTGAACCTCTCAAAGGCCAGCTGCACGCCCTCGTCGGACTCGGGGACCTGGACCCCAGCCTCGGCGAGCCGCTGCCGCATCTCGCCGACGTCAGACCAGATGGCCGGGGCAGCAGGGACTGGCGGCGGGCCGGCAGCCGCCGAGCCTGCCCCTCCGCCGCCGCCCCCAGGGGCGCTGCTGGGCACCAGCTGCACCATCTGCTGGGCCGTGCACTGGGGCAGTTGCTGCGCCAGACTCTGCACCATGGAGGTCTGGTCAGGCACCTGGACGCCGAGCCCGACAAGCACCGCCGCAAGCTTGTCCGTGTCAAGCTGAAGGACGGAGACTGCCTGGGGAGGCGTCGGGCACTCATCCATTGACGCGGGCTGCGGCGACGCGGCCACCAGCAGCACCTGCTGACGCCGGAAGTCCGCCAACTCGGCCTCCTGCTGCACGATGGCAGCCTTCTCCTTCTGGATGGCCGCCTGCATCTCCACGACCTTCCGCTGCGAGGCTTCGAGAGAATCGCGGCTTTTCTGAAGGCCTCGCTCGGCCCCCTCAATCTGGCGAAGGAGGATGCGCATCTGCTGGCTCTGAGGCCTGGCCGCCAGCAGCTCCTGTTGCAGCTGCGATTGCTCAGTCGCCAGCTGTTTGGCCAGGCTCTCCCACGCGGCCCCCGAGAAGCTCCTGGCGGCAGCCAGTTCCTTCTCGACCTCGGCGAGGCGGACCCGAGTGGCCCGCAAGTCGGGCGCCCCCTCGCCGTCCGCGTCGATGATGACGGTGTCCGGCGGCTTGCGGGCCTGCTTGAGCTGCTCTTGCAGCTGCTTGACCTGGGCCGAGAGCTTCTGCACCTCGGCCGACGACCACGGCGGCTCGGACCCGTTGCCCGAACCAGTCCGCTGACGCGTGGACGTCGACGGCTCCTTGAGCGCCACGTAGCCGTTGAAGCACTGGCCCTTCGAGCGCTTGCACTGGTGGCACTGCTTGTTCTCGGCGAAGTTGAGGAATGGCTTCCCAGTGCGCTCGTGCACGCAGTGCTTGCAGAACCACTTGCGCTGGTGCACGGGCGGCGGCGGCGCCATCGGCGAGAATGCTCCTGCAGGAGCTCACCGCCTCCGCGAGCTGGCACGGAGGTCCAGACCTGGGGAGGACCAGGCCGAGGTGACGAGACTGGCCGCGGACTAGCGGTATCCTTGCTGCCTGGAGGCTGAACAGCCCCCCAGGAAGACATCTTGAGCCAAAATGGCTACGGAGAGGAGGAGCAGGAGGAGGAGGAGGAGAAGGAGGAGCAGGAGGAGGAGTAGGAGGAGGAGGAGGAGGAGGAGGAGGAGGAGGAGGAGGAGGAGGAGGAGAGAGGAGGAGGAGGAGGAGGAGGAGGAGGAGGAGGAGGAGGAGGAGGAGGAGGAGGAGGAGGAGGAGGAGGAGGGGGGGCAGGAGGAGGGGGAAGGCAGGGGCAGCACACAGGGAAAGGGAAGGCCTCCATGCTGGGCTGGGCGCAGACGCAGTCCAGGACGCCCTCCGCGCTGGAGGCGCGGGCGTCCTCCGGATCCTCCTCGCCGGGCCCCCGGCGGGCACCCGCAGGGCTGCAGCCGACCCTCGAGCTTCTTCGGGCGCTTCGAGCTCGATCGAGTCGATCGAGTCTCGAGGTTTTCGGGCGTGTCGGGTTCGATCGAGCCTCGAAGGTTTCGGGCGTTCTGGGGCTCCCCGGAAGCCTTTCGTCGCCACGCTCGGACTCCCCGCCAGCATCCTGGTCAGAGGGCACCCCTGGATGGGTCCGGAGGGTGGATCGAAGAGCCATGCCCAAATCTCCGACGACACGATGCTTCAAAACAATTCGGGAGCTCTGGCTGGTTCCTGAAGGCTCTCTTGCCTCGGGATGCTTTCCAGCAGCTGCGCCTCGCCGAGAGCGCTCTGGGGGTGGCTGGGTCGTTCCGAACGGCTGCAGGAGGGCCGAGCCATGGCCAACGACATCCAATCTCCGACGACATGATCTTGTTCGATCCCGGCCTTCTTCCTCTATCTCGACCCCCAGGGCCCGTTGTCGGGTCCCGAGGGAGGGAGGGAGGGAGGGAGGGAGGGAGGGAGGGAGGGAGGGAGGGAGGGAGGAGGGGAGGAGGGGAGGAGGGGGGGGGGGGCCATCAAACATGGGTCCAGGACGGAGAACTACCCCCGGGGAGAGGGTCGGGACCTCTGGGGCCACGCACTGGAACAAGACATCGTCGGATGCCTGGGGGCCAAAACGAGCTGTTGCAGTCGGCGGCCCTTCCCCTCCTCTACGCAGGGAGGGGGGAAGAAGGAGGGGGAGCAAGTGGTGGGAGGGAGGGGGAGGGGGAGGCAGGAGGAGGCAGGAGGAGGATGGAGGAGGAGAAGAAAGTGGGAGGAGCAGGAGGAGGACGGAGGTGGGAGGATGGAGGTGGGAGGAGACGTTGGGAGGAGACGTTGGGAGGAGGAGGAGGTAGGAGGAGGGGAATGAGGAGGACCAGAGCACACCCAGAATGCACCAGCGATGCTGCAAGACAGCCTTCCGTCCGAATCCCCCTCACCCAAGAGTCTGCAAGCGCAAGCACTCCTTATCGCTGCGGCCCCCCCTGGAAAGGCGATACCTCTATGCTCTATGGGTCGGCCATCCAAGCGAGAGCCCCATTTCTTGATATGAACAGCCCTCCATGTTTCTGGCTGTGAGAAGTTCTGCTGTCAAGCTCATATGTTCATCAAACGAGGTGTCCAGCGACAGTCTGGTTTGGGAATAAGCCGCCCTCCATGTGTGAATATTGTTTTCCCCGAGTCGAGAGACCCATTTTGAAAATGAGCCGCCCACATGAGCTGCACAACTTCAAGCTTTCGGCGATAACGTATGGAACGCACCAGTCGGATTCCCACGTGTAGAACAAAACACGCCCTCAAACCCTGACGCAGGTGAAGTTTTTGAAACGGCTGTGCGCGGGGCACGGGTGTCGGTCACACCCAGTCCTTGAATTCATGGGGAGCGTTCAAAAGAACTGCACGCGGCGCAAAGGCGATCACCACCTGTTGAAAACCATTCGTCCTTCGTCCGTGCAACACCTGGAAAGCTCGACCTTTAATGCCAGCGGTGGACACTTGGCCGCAACGCCCAGCCCGCGAGGAGAAGTTCCCCAAATAATGGTTGTACTTAGGGTTTTTTGCTCCTGTTCTAAGGAACTGCGCCGTGTCTTCGGTCGGGTGGCCGCCGTCGCTGCCCCGTCGCCGCCTCGTCGCCGCCCGTGGTCTGGGCCGTGTCTTCGGTCTGGCGGTTATGTGGCCGACGTCGCCGCCTTGTCGCCGTCCGTCGTCTAGGCCGTGTCTTCGGTCGGGGGGCTGGCCGCCGTCGCCGCCCCACATAGATTGTACAACAAAGATTGCACAACGTACATTCTCTTTTCTAGCCAGGAAATATGTTCCACCGCCCCCGAGGCCGGGATTACCTCTCCCCCCTTCGGGATGTGCAATTTAAACACGAATCTACCCCATGGTCCATTCCAAATGTGAATTCAAATCATCCCAGACAAACCAGATTCGACCTCCCCCCATACCATCCTCTGCAACAAGTGCTATGCGCACGCGCTCGTTTATCTCACATCATCAATTTTCAAACATCCCGTGCAAACATGAAGCGAAGTCCACACGTTCAGTCGTCGCGCGCGCATGCCGACTCCTTCATAAGGTTTCGTGGGGGGTCCAAATCGAATACCCCGAAAACATATAACCAACATATAGTTTCGCAACATCCTATCTCTAAAACAATATGCACGCGAAATTTTGCGAATTCTTGAAGGCAACATCAGTTTACAAGGTTTTCATACAATGCGACCATGCGGGCTTTTCGCGCACGCGTGTCGAAATCATTCGAACGCCTTGGCGCGCGTGCTTGTGGGGCACAATCCCTGTCAAAGAAAACCAAGCAGGCCACTCGCGCCCGTCGGCGGCGCGTGCATGTTGAAATCCTTTCAAAACCTTCATCGCCGACGCGTGGGCACCATCATCGTCATTGGCGTGATCAGCATCGGCGCCATCATACTATGCTTTGCCATCGCCATCGTCATCGTCGTCACCAGCATCGCTGCAACCATCATCGTGTCCGCAGTTGCCGGCGTCGCCATGATACTGCGCCCGCCCGCGCCACCGACTCGCACTGAAATCCCCTCACGTAAGGGCGGCCTGTGGGACGCGCTGGAAGTCCTCACCGGTCCGCGCCACCGCGGCCGCGTCGGTCACGCCAAACTAGCTGGCCGCTCCGCGCGCGAGCCTGCGCGCGTTAGCGCAGCCGCAGCGATGAGCCAGTCAGCGTCAGGCAGGCATCGCGATTGCCGTGCCATGGTTTTGCAGACCAAGCTGCGGGTGGGTGGGTGGGTGGGATGATTGCGCGAGCAGTGGAAGTGTCAACTCACTAGTGAGCACTAGTTCATTCTCCTTTCTAAAAGGAGAATAAACTCTACCCCCCCCCCCGGACTTATCGGTTCCCCTTTCGGGTATGTAAATCAAAGATGATTCTGACCACTCGTCCATCCTAAATATGAAAGCATACCATCCCAGCCAGGCTGGGTTCCCCCCCCTGAGGTTCCCTTGTAAAAAACACTATGCGGTGACATGTTTTGCTCTAACATAGCACTTGTTCACGAATCCCTTGCAAAAAACGAGACGAAGTGCACACGCGCGCGTCGTCGCGCGCGCATGCCGAAATCCTTCAAAAACCCTCGAAGGATTTCGCAATCGAGTTTCCAAACAAAACAAGGTTTCGCAACACAGAGTTGGAAAAAAAAGCTTCCGCGCGAGCTCTTGCGAAATCTTAAGAAAACCGTAGGTTTTTCAAGATTTTCACAAAATGCTACCAAACGGGCTTCGCGCGCGCGCATGTCGAAATCTGTCGAACGCCCTTGCGCGTGTGCCGTCGCGAGAATCCTCTGCAAAGAAAATGACGAAGTGCAGACGCGAGCGTCGTCGCGCGCGTACGCCGAAATCCTTCAAAACCCATCGGTTTCGGAAGGATTCAAAATCGTGTGTCCAAAAAACCTACAAAAACCTAAGGTTTCGCAACACGGATTTTCAACAAAAGCGTGCGCGCGCGCTCTTGCGTCGTCGTCGTCGTCGTCGTCGCCGTCCTCCCTCCTCCCGCGTCGTCGTCGTCGTCGTCGCCTACGTCGTCCTCTGTCTTTCCTCGTGTTCGTCGTCGTCGTCCTCTTTGGCGTCGTGGTCGTTTCCGTCGTCGTTGTCGCCGTGGTCGTCCGTCCTCCTCCTGTCGTCGTCGTCGTCCGTCGTCGGCGTCTCGTCGTCGTCCGTCCTATTTCGTCGCCGTCGTCGTCGTCGTCGTTGTCGTCGTCGTCGTCGTCTTCCCTCCTCACTCGTCGTTGCCGTCGTCGGCGTCGCCGTCCTTCCTCCTTCTTCGTCGTTCGCGTCGTCGCCGTCCTCCCTTCTCCCTCGTCGTTGTCGTCGTTGTCGCCGTCGTCGTCCTCCCTCCTTCCTCGTTGTCTTCGTTGGCGGCGTCGTCTTCGTCTTCGTCGTCGTCGGCGTCGGCGTCGTTGTCGTCTTCGTTGTCGTCGACGTCGGCGTCGTCGTCGTCGCCGCCGTCGTCGTCGTCGGCGTCGTCGTCGTCGTCGGCGTCGTTGACGTCGTCGTCGTCGGTGTCGTCGTTATCGTCGTCATCTGCGTCGTCATCGTCGTCGTCGTTGTCATCGTCGTCGTCGGCGTCGGTGTCGTCGTCGTCGTCGTCGTCGGTGTCGTCGTCGTCGTCGTTGTCGGCGTCGTCGAAGTCGTCGGAGACGCCGTCGGTGTCGTCGTAGTCGTTGTCGGCAGCGTCGTCATCGTCGTTGTCGCTGTCGTCGTCGGCGTCGCTGTTGTTGCCAAGTGCCATGTGGTACCCACCGTCACGGTCTTAAGAGATTTTGCAAACCAAGTTGCGGGTGGTGGGTGGAATGTTTGCGCGAGCAGTGGAGTGGACAACTCACTGCGAACAGAAATTAATTGCACAACATAGACTGTACCACTTAAATTGCGCACCGCGTAGTTCTCGCAATATTTATTCCGCCACATGCTTGCATCACATAGATTGCACCACATACATTGCGGC